GACCACTAGCTTCTACCAACTCAGACTAAGAATGTCATCAAATAGCATCTAGGGCCTATAGTAAAGCTTCCCCCATTTCACTGTAATTTGCAGCTCTGATGTACCCAACAATGTATTTTAAACTTGCCTTGATTTATGAATTTCTTGGTCCTATAAAACTTCATAAAACTGCTTCCACATTGGAACATGGAATTTGGGGTAACCTAAATTTGTGTCCCCTTGCTATGGCCACTCAAAATAGCTTCAGAATAAACTATCTAATTCCTTTTAAGATGACAGCTGTAGTTTTTGCATCAACACTTCCAAGTTGTTTATGATCATGTTGTTTTATCACAGCCATAGAAAGCAAACTCTAACAAATGTGTATTATTTTCATACTTTATACTACCAAAAGAGATATTAATTTCCACTTTCAATGAGGAGAATGAGACATTAATTAAAAAATGAGTGGATCCTAGTTAAATTTTACACACATAATCAGTAACAAGTCTGTGAAATTCCTGCCTTTGCTTATATTAAAGACATATGTCCATTGAGTTAGCAGCAAGGGTGACTCAAAGAAGGAGACATGTGGAATGCACGCATCTTTCCCATTCCTGGGATTTTGAATTATATCTAAGAGAAAAGGAAGAGTTGAATTTTCTTTGAGGAGGAGAGTAGATACTTGTGAGGGAGCTTTGTAAAGATAATGATCCCTGCCTTAGTCACTCCTAAAACCTGAAGTGGTGTTTTACCTGAGGGAATTAAAGTTACACCTGAGTGGAGCACAGGGGAAATAGTTTCTGTTTTGCAGTTAGGATTTTCTGAACAAAGAAAATTAGGGCTTTGAATTTTACCCCAGGACAAGTTTGGGAGAAAGAGAGTGACTGAATAACCAGACCTCTGAAGAGATTTAGAAACTTCTCTAAGTATTTACATTTCGAATAGTGCAAAAGGATCTAGCTGTTTACATTTTAAAGAACTGCAAATGCTAAGGTTTCTTCTCTCTTTGGAGAGGGATGGGGTGCAGCCTATTTCAGCCCCCAAATTACCAACTCAGAGGCTTCCCTCTTGCAGCACACACCCCATATACACAGGATGACTTCTGGTTCATGGGGGCTAATTGGGAAGGAGGAACCAATGTGGTTTTTACTGTAACTGATAACAACTATGAGCTCTGCTGTGGAAATATCATTTGCTTTCAGAATACCATGAGTATAGATAGACTTACCACAAATGGGAGGATACACTCATGCTGGTTTTGTACTGTGTATAAGCTGAACAGAGACATGCGGCTGGGGCCCATCAAGCTGCAGGCTATGGAGAAAAAGTTCTGTAAGGCCTCACAGAGGTTGGGGCAGATGTCGGCCCAGGAAGGCACAGCAATATGCACAATGAGAAGCCTTGGAGGTTGATGACTTATCTTCGTGGTAGGAGAGGTCCCTCTACTATTAGTTCTCCTCCGATTCATGGCAGTCAAACCAGTGTGGAACTGTAGCCACCACTTGAATAATTGGTATTTTCTAAAGCTAAAGGAAAAGAAAAAGAAACGACTGGCTTTCATAAAACTGGATTAGGTACTTGAAGCAAAGAATATAAATTGAGGGGATAAATCCAAAAAGGATTCAGTCTAGGTACTAAATCAAACTTGTCAAGGTCAGCCCATATTAATAGCACCTAAGGGATCTCAATGTTTTACTTTAGATAGACATGCTAAGTGGAAGTAATAAAGAATAAAGGAGTTACACAAAAGTTAAGCTTCGTTTTTGTTTTTTTGTGTTTTTTTTTTTTCCTACAGGGTTTTATGTTACCTAGGCTAGCCTAGAGTTCATTATGCCGCTGAGTATGTATGATCTTACATTCCCTACAACCCCAAGTGCAGGGATTATAGATGGGCATCACTGTGCCTCAAATCAACTTTTGTTATTGCTCATTATGCTATATTGTAACTTGTTTTTATGTCTGTTTTTCCTACCATATTGTAAAGTTTCCCACAGTGCCAGGTGTGGGATACTTCCATAGGAGTTGTTGGTCAGGGAGGTGCCCAAAACAATAAAGGTTCATGCTGTTTTCTTGGTTCCCCATTATAACTAGTTGATAAGCTCCTCTTGCTGAAGGTACCACACACCTAGGATAAATGCTATAGAGAAATAAAGTTGGAACCGAACTAGAAGTTTTCTCCCTGATGGCTACCTCTTACAGGGCTGGAAGGTGCTATGACAGCTGCTGCAGGCAGGAGGCACCAACAGTTTTATACAGCTGTGAACCTTAGGAACTATGATGCTAACCTTCCTGGCAAGATGTGCTCATTGATGCCATAGTGCCGTGACTGTTAAGGGACAGGAACAACCAGCCACTTCCCAAATAGACTTCAGTCTGGCTCTATAAGAGGAAACCTATACCTATTACCATAAACATGGTCCAGAGCACATAACTGTAGAGTTCATGGTCCCTAGTAGGGGAGCCTAACACCACTTCTTAGCTAAACTGACATACTGTTAAACCACCTTCTAAACACTTAAGCTTATACCTACAGACAAAGGCTACTATCAGCTTTAAAAAAAAAAATGAAGTCATTCCTGGCAGTCAACAGAGGTGATTATGAAGACCTTGCATAAGATACTGAGAATAAAGGATGGATATTTAAGGACTCTGTCTTAAATAAGACATCTATATCATCCCTTTAAGTCTCAGGGGACATTTTGGAAAAGGATGTAGAAAGATTTAAGAAATAGAAGACATGGAGAAGGGCTGCAATATGCTATCCTCTAACTACAACATGACCTAACAAGCAAAATCAAAGCAGCTATGCCTACTGGCCCTTCTAATCGTCTGTTATGGAAGGGAGAGGGTCTCACAAAGTCCTACCACTTATTACTGGTCTATTTGCAGCTGACAGATTCTGGGAGATGGGGAGGCATAGATAGCATCCAGTTATATATGAACTGCTAAGCTCGAGGATCACACAGATGACTGTAGTTGAATTCTGTGGGACACAAAACAAAAACTAGTAAACGTGGGAAAGAGATTTCTAAGGAGGAAGGGGGATGGAAAGGGTGGGAGGAAAAGAAGAGAAGATGATAGGGTGGAAGTAACCAGAATACATGGATGAAATTGTCAAAGAATAAATTTTGTTAATAAAAGAGAAAAGTAAGATTATTTTTTACTCATGATCTTAGATGTAAAAGCCCCCAAACAAGACAAGAATATTAAAGCTAGGAACATGTAAAAAGAATAATGCATCATAGACTGGAGCGATTGCTCAGCAGTTAAGAACACTTGCTGCTCATCCAGAGGACCAGGTTCATTTCCCAGCACCTATATGGTAGCTCACAATCCTGTGTGATACCAGTCCCAGGGAACCTGTCATCCTCTTTAGGCCTTTTCAAGCACTAGGTCCTCAGATGGTGCATAGACACACATGCAGGCATAACACTCATACACATAACATTAAAAATAACATTATATCCAAAGTGGGTTTATCTCAGAAAAATATTAGCTAGGAATGGTGGCTTGCACACACCTTTAACCTCAGCATTTGGGAGGGTGGGGTAGGAGAATTGCTTCTAGGTTGAGGCCAGCCTGGGTTACAGAGTAAGAAAAACTAGTCTTGAAAGAGAGAAACCAGAGAGTCTAAGTTTCATATAATACCAGAATCATAATAATTTATCACACTGGAAGATTAAATGAGAAAATTATATGATCTTCTGTAAGTGTGCAAAAACTTTTTGTTAAAATTCAATGTCCATATATGACAAAGTCCCTTAGTAAGTTGGAACAGAATGATCTAATTAAAATATCTTAGTAAAAACTTAACGCATTAGTCGGTCATTGGTGGTGCATGCCTCCCAGCACTTGGGAGGCAGAGGCAGGCAGATCTCTGTGAGGTCAAGGCCAGCCTAGTCTCTAGAGTGAGTGCCAGGATAGGCTCCAAAGCTACACAGAGAAACCCTGTCTCGAAAAACCAAAAAACAAACAAACAAACAAAACCAACTTAGAGCATTGGGTCATGCTGACTCATGCCTATAATCCTACCAGTTGTGAGACTGAGGCAGGAAGATTGAGGTCAGTCTTGGCTATATCGTGAGCTTTAGGCCAGGATGATCTAATGTTGACTCAATCTAAAAAAAAGTCTAGAGTAACCTAGGCTAATGGTGTATACCTGCAATCATGAGGCAGAGGCAGGGAGGGAGATCATGTGTTTGGGACCAGTTTGGGATTTGCAGTGGGTTCTGTGTTAGTCTTCTGATACAGAGTGAGACCTTTCAAAATAAAAACAACCAACACTAAAAAACCCTGGAGCAAACAGCATTCTATATTTTTAGATGGAGGATTGAACCTAGGGACACACACACACACACACACACACACACACACACACACACACACACACACACACACACACACACGGTAACTATGATGCCTTCTACCACTAAGCCACGCCCCACAGCTACAAACTCATTCTTTTGTATGTATATGTACACACATGTTTTCATTGCACATGTGTTTGTGTGTGCATGTATGCAGGCCAGAAGATGATCTCTGGTGTCATTTCTCAGGAGTCACCCATGAGAGTGACAGAGTCTCGGATTGGGACCTTTGGGCTTGATGATTAAGCTGGCCACAGAATCCATCTTTCTGCTTTCATGTTGCTGGGATTGCAAGTACATGCAATCACACGTGGCTTTTTATGTGGTTACTGAGAATCCAAATTCAGGTGTGGCAGGCAGTTTACTGATTTTTGGTCCCATAATACATTCTTTTTTCTTTTTAAAGACTTATTTTTGTTTTATGTGCATTGGTATTTTGCCTGCATGTATATGTGTATGAGGGTGCCAGATCTCCTGGAACTGGAGTCACAGACAACTGTCTGTGAACTGTTGTGAACACTCTATGTGTGTGCTTGGAATTGAACCTAGGACCTCTGGAAGAGCAGTTAGTGCTCTTAACCACCGAGTCATCTCTCCAGCACCACAATCATTTTCTTTCAGGCACTAAACAGGGGTCTTCATTGGCCACAGCTACTTGAGGGTGATGAAGCAGGAGGAGTGGTTGGCACAGATACCAGGCCGGCCATTCTTCACCAACTTGCAGGTGATGAAGAGCTCAACCAGGCAGTGGTTGATTGCATCTGGTTTGATTTTCACCTGGTTGAAGGTCTTGCTATTGTACACACCTACTATGCTGCCTACCATCTCCGGCAGAATGATCATGTCTCTCAGGTGGGTCTTGGGCTTCTCTATGGGTTGTGTCTCCTTCGTGGCCTTTCTCAGGCTTTTGAATAGTGAGTGCTGCTTCAGCCACAGGCCACAGTTCAGGCATCGCCGCTGTAGGGTGTTGTACAACTGCATCAGCTGCTCATAGGACCTGTCCAGCAATTGATCCTGGTCCAGGCTGAAGTAGGTGAACTTGCAGACTGTCCATCTCTTCTCTACTTCAGTCAACTTGGTGGCTGCTTGGAAAAGGAAGCGTTGGCTGCATCTGCACAGCTCACCAATCATTCTTCACAGTAATGTGTTGATTGTTTTCTCCGTAAGATGAAGAGCTTCCTACAGTTGTCCCCATTCAATACCATAGTGGTGGCAACAAGGCAAGGCAAATAAATGAAAGGCAGTACAGCTAGGTATGGTGACACATGCCTGTACTCAGAGGTTGAGGCAGGAGGAGTCTAAGTTCATGGTCAACCTGTGATAAGTAGTGACATCCTATGACAATTAAATAAACATTTAATTTTTAATGTTTTCCCTTTCTGTATAGAATTATAATGACCTTACCTGTGGTGACATACTATTTATGATTTATTAAAGCCTGTCTGAGGATTCAGAAATCAAGTCAGCCGCAAGTCATAGAAGCCAGGCACACATTTTTAATCCCAGGACTCAGGATTAAGAGGTAGACTGATCTCTGTTAGTTCAAGGCCATACTGAGCTACACAAAATTGATCCAGTCCTAAAGAAACAGCTCATACAAAGATGATCTCACACACCTTTAATCCTTGGACTCAAGAGAGGTATTTAAGACAGGAACAGAGTCTCAGAGCAGGAAATTCATTCTACAGCCACATTGAGGATAGGAAGACATTGAAGTCTCAGGAGTCTACAGCCACACTGAAGAGAGCATAGCAGTCTGGGAGTGAAGTCTGTGGTTTGGTGGAGCCAGGACAGTCTTTCAGTCTGAGGTAGAGGAAAGAGCTAGTGCCTGGCTGCTTTGCTTTTCTGACCTGCAGCTTGAAGCTTGAACCCCAAAATCAGTCTCTGGGTCTTTAATTTATTGTGCTACACTTATCCTTCACTTACTTAGACATGGGCCTGCTAAATTATCCCAAGCAGGCCTGGACTCAATCTGTGACCCAAGATGTCCCTGAGCATAATGCCCTCCTGCCTCAGCTCTGTAGTTGTGATTACGTGCCTGCACCTCCAGGCCCAACTTGAAAGTACTCTTTGAAATTTTAAATTTAAATTTATTACTATTGTGTTTGTGTGTGGATGACGTATGAATACAGGGCACATTTATGCTATATCATACACAGAGGTCAGGAGAGACAACTTTGTGCAGTTGGTTCCCTTTCCACATTTATGTGCATTCTGGGGAATGAACTTGAAGCAAGTACCTTTATCCACTGAACCATTTCACTAACTATGGCTTAAAAGCACTCTTGGAACTGGAAATCCAAATAAATGCCTAATGTATTTACCAAGAAAGCAATAATAGTATTTAATCCCCCCCCCCAGAGGGTTTCTCTGTGTAGCTTTGGAGCCTATCCTGGCACTCTCTCTGTAGTCTAGACTGGACTTGAAGTCACAGAGATCTGCCTGCTTCTGCTCCCAAGTGCTGGGATTAAAGACATGTGCCACCAATGGCCTGGCAGTATTTAATCTTTTAACTGTACTTTTAAATTAGTACAAGGCTTAGTAGCCTGAAGCAGGAGGATTATCACAAGATCAAGGCCAGCCAAAGCTACAGAGTGAGACTCTGTTTCCACCACAAACAAAATAAACAAAAATGAACAAATAAACTAATGTACAAGGCCAACTTCTAAATGGAATGCTCTGCTTGAGGGGGACACATATATTGATAGAGAAAAAATGGGCACCCAAAAGGCTTATTTACCATCCCTATACATATGAAAACATCATTTTATTTGTTAAGTAGCCTAGGTTGACCTTAAAGTCACGTTGTTTCTCCCATTTCAGTCTCCCAAATGTTGGGATTACAGAGGTGAGCTACCACATTCAACTTGAAAACATCATTTTAGATACAGGCAGTTTGCACTTGGCATAGTTCCACTACATACCAATTTCAGCTACAGGGCTGGTAATTAACAATAGTCCATGAAAACAATTCAGATTTCAGGTTGCTGTGGAAAACTAATCAAATAATTGCATAAACCATTGTGGAAATAACAGATGTATATCAATCCTGATGATCATCAGTGAGGAAGTATATAAATCCTTTTAAAGTCTCTCAGTGAATGGTCACTGCAGAGTCCAGACAGCAAAGTAAGTAAGCATGCTGCTTCCTTTTCTCCTTGTGACTACTCTATGTGGCATTTTACAGGAAATGGTTATGATAAAAAGGATGCAGACATCCCAGAGGAAAGTGCAGCTTGCCAAAGCAGAGTCATTAAAGGAACTCTCAGGAAAATGTTCAAACAGATCCAAACTTAGGAATCTAACAATTTTCCGAGACTTAGAAAAAAAGTGTGATCTATCATAAATTATTCTGGGAGAAGAAACAAAGCACAAGGCATTGTTCAAACCACTGAGGTTTTGTTTAAAAACAGTTTTGTTGTTATTGTTGAGACAGAGCCCAGTCTATAGGCCAGGTTGGCACTGAACCCTTGTCCTCCAAATGCCTTTGAAGTACTGAGATTACAGCAATATGTCATCACACCCAATGCCTAGAAAATACTCCTCCCCTTTTAAATACAAACAAAAATTTTCAATGTTACTGGTCTTTTAAATTATAGCATGTGAAATATTAACTCTACATTCTCCCAAATAAGCTCACAGGAAGGAGAGCCTTCAGTGTTTTCCCACCGATGAGGATTGCTTTGTGTTTCAGGTTGTGCAGTTATTTTTTTTATTTTAGGTCAGTGGGAAATCATTCTAATAAAAATTTTGTATATCTTCTCACACATCTGTCTTGCTTCATATTAGAAAATGGATTGTGATTCATTTCACTGCAAGTAAAATATTGCAAAATATTTACAGGAAAGTATTACAAATAAACACAAAGTCAAGATGTAATAAGGTGGAGGAGATGACTCAGAGGGCCAAGTGCTTGCTGAACAAGCCTGACAACCTAGAGTTTGAATCCCTGAAACCCATCTAAAGCCAGACACAGCACTCCTGCTAGCTTAGTTCTACCTTAACATAGACAGAGACAGGAGAATTCCCAGAAGCCTTTGAGATAGCTTGCTTGGCTTACAAACTGCGAACAACAAAAAGAAACCCTTTTTCACACATGATGGAAAGCAAGAACCAACATCTGGGGTTGTTCTCGGATCTTCATACTCAAGCAGTGTGTTTGCACACAAATGAACATGTATACATATATGTATACACACACATCATGCACATAAACAATCATACACACAAAGAACAATAAAAACGACAAAGATGAAATAAACTTTTTTTCTCAGAAATCTTAAGTGCTCATAACATACAAGAGTCATGCCCATAACATACAAGGTTTCTTCTGATAACACATTTTCAAAGAAATGGAGAAAAAATGGGTTGGAGAATGATGGTGTGAAAGGGAATGTGTGCTAGTGGGGATGCTAACCAGTCTATGCTGTGCAGTAAGTCTAAGAGTGAACTTTAAGACATTCCTTGAACTGAAATTAGAAGATGCCCTGAAAGTATGGTAGTTGGAAAGTAATTGGCTCCCATAATCTCTTAGGGAGTGGCACTATTAGGAGGTATGGCTTTGCTGGAGTGGGTATGGCCTTGTTAGAGGAACTGTGGCAAGCTGGGGGCGAGCTTTGAGGTTCCTATGCCTAGTATGCTAGTTGACTTCCTGCTGCCTGCAAGATGTAGCACTCTCAGCTCCAGCACCACATCTGCCTGCACACCGCCATGCTCCCCGTCATGATGATAATGGACTGGACCTCTGGAACTATAAGCTCTTCCTTTAGAAGAGTCTCCGTGGTCATGGTGTCTCTTCACAGCAATGAAAACCCTAAGACAATGTAGAAGTATCTCTTTCTCCTTAGTTTACTAAAATCCTCTTGTACCATGAATCACTGTAGTTACACCGTATTTTAGATCTCACAGTGACCTGCAATTGGAAGGCTATGCTTTAAATGAAGTGAATCTCCTCAAACATGATCAAATAACAATCTGAAGTGTTTGGACACACAACCTAACAGGACTGACTTTAGTTTTTGACCCCATGAACTCTCCTTTTACTAGGAACACCCGATGAATTTTTTTTCCCCTCTGTGATGTGGTTAAACCTGGAATTGGGCCTCGAACCACCCCAAACCAAGTTACTTTAGTACTAAAATCCTTTCAGTGTGTTCGAAGAACAGGAACAAAATCCAAAAGTCTTCATCCTGGCCTCAAATTTTTGACTGTGTGTTTTCCTGGATCTCCATCCCTGGACCCAGCTCAGCTCTTGCAGATCTGCCCACTCCCCAGGCTTCTTTAATCATGAACGTATTCAGGTTCCAGTTGGGCTTTTTGAGTACTTTCTTTCCCAGCATAAGATTAGGGCCCCTTTACATGCCCTCCTTATAGTGCCTGTACTGTGCATTTACACCCTTAAGACACTCACTGTACAGTAAAAGATCCAACTGTTTTCCCTTGAGCAGAGTGCCATTAAAGTTTCAGTTTCCTCTCTCTCTCTCTCTCTCTCTCTCTCTCTCTCTCTCTCTCTCTCTCTCTGTGTGTGTGTGTGTGTGTGTTGTAGGGAGGGTATCACTCTTTGGAGGAACACTGGCCTAGCATGTGCAAGGCCCTGGATTTCACCCTAGTACCCAAACCAAACCATACTTCTTTCAGATTCAAAGAACTTTTGCCTTCATGGACCCTATCCTCCATTAAAAAAAAATTAAATTAATAGATTTTCAAAAATCTTAAAAAGTCAAAGTTTCCCTTGGAGAGGGGAGACAAAAGCCATGTTTCTTTGACCTTCAGAGCTCATTGTTTCCTTCTTACTGAAAAAGTTAGGCCAGGCGGTGATGGGTAAGCAGGACATGCTCTAAAGCCACAGAGAAACCCTGTCTCGAAAAGCCCCCCCCCCCCCCCAAAAAAAGAGACCAGGCTTGGCAACTCACAGGGGTGGAGTGGGGGCAGGACGGGACGGGGATGACAAACACGGGACACCATGATACCAGAGACAAAGAAACACACGAGAGAGAGAGAGAGAGAGAGAGAGAGAGAGAGAGAGAGAGTTAGAGAGAGTTAAGTCTCTCCTGTCAGTCAGTCATGGGGAGCTTGGCTACCCTGTTTTTATGGGGCCGTCGGCTAGTCCTGCTGCCCCTCACCGACCCAGC